AAAATAAAATAAAAATAGTTTAATTTTTACGTATATAAAAAAGTGATTTGCCTACTTGTCCTATACTTTGCACTCATATCGTGTTTTTTGTATCGTTTGTTGTAAAATTCTGACCTACACCTACTGGACATCTGTAAAAAAAGAGCTTCATAGGTAATCGGATTCCTCCCGTATAATTAAAGATTCCGATTCTGAACTTGTGGAGGCATGATTCAGTGTTCAGCATATCTCCTCCACATTGTACAGACTGATGGAACTTTGTAAAACACTTACGCAAAGCACAAAAATGTTCTACAAAGTGCACACACATACATTTAGTGTACTTACAAAATGACCTTATTTCAATACAAGTATTTACATTTAAAGTAAGAGCTATGACAATTTAATTATAAGCTGTAATTAAAAAGGCAAAAACATCACATCTAACAAAGCCCAATAGATAATTTGTCATTTTATATTTCTACTTTCGGATGCGATGTTTTTTTTACAATGTTATACCCAAAAAGTGTTAGCAAATTAATTGAAGTGATTAATTATTAATTATTTGTTAAATGTGTAAAATGCTGTAACACTCCCCGCGAGTGTGCATTTATTGTTTTGGGAACATTAATCAAGCCACTTTGAAACACTATTAGGCACGAGTAAACAATGTTTAAGTTTGCTTTGCATATTTAGATACATATGGGTGATGCTGCGGTGAGGGCATTTGATGAACAATCAGAAATCTGCAATTACAGGCAAGTGGTCCACATAGCAGATGATATTTCGAGATATCAAGGGAATACATCATTTCCATACTGCCTGAGGGCCACCGAGAGTGATGAGTGCCACCCCGTTTCCGATTTGAGAAATGGTCACTTTAAAATTCCAAGTCTATAATTATAATAATCGTATGCAATAAACTCATAAATCTACAAATCGTTGTCAATCCGTTGCCAGATGATGGCTTCCCCCATGCAGTGTGTGGCCATTTAAACCATGTTCGGTTTAAATGGGGGCAGAGAGTGTGGTATCCAGGTGGCAGGAACTCCTTACACAGGACACGCACCACTGTACCACTGCCCCATCCCTTGTTTAGACTACATTTGTATTTATTTTGTAGTGCACCTATACTTGCTAAAATGATGGTATAACATTGAGAATGATTATTTTTGACATTTAAGTTTGCTAAAGTAGCAAAAGGCAAACTAATATATTAGCTCTGGTATAGGTGAGTATACAAAGGCATACGGTACAGCAAACAAACTGGCATTAAAGGCTATGATGTGAAATTGAGTTAATTTAGTTCAGCATCTATCTATATATATAAAAGTAAAAAAATGTCTGTTTGTGGGTTTGTTTGTGGGTTTGTGTGTGTCCTCGCACTTGCGAAGGATTTGCTCCCCAACGGTGGGTTATACGTAAAAAAAATATATATCTAGGTACCACGCCGTAAGCCCCACGGTGAGCAAGCGTTATTCCTTTTTCACATCCGTCAACTTAAAATTAGTGTAATTAGCGATTTTGTGCGATTTTTGTGCGCTTCCCTTTTATTTATGTATTTATGACGCGTACACGACCATACCCACTCACGCGCCTTTGGTGGGGGGGGGCAGCCCATGCCAAGTCGCACGCATTCGGTGGGAGTGAGGGGGACATTTTCTTTCGCGTTAAAAATGCTTTAAAAATACACTAAACGCTGACGTTAATTCTTCACTGTGTGATGCCCCCCCCCTCCACCCCGATAGAGTGGCCGGGGAGATCGTGACTGGGGGGGGGGAGTCAGGGGTAGCAGCCCAGCCCCAGCCTGCCAAGGTGCCACCTCGGCCAGCTGGACAATCTAGGTGAGGCCGGAGGCTCTGCACGGGACTAGGCCTCACCACGCCACTCTGTCAGGTGAGTACTTTGTGCTATAAAAGTCCATAAATATTGCTATAGAGTCAGCATATACTGCTGTAATCATAGCAGGTACCACCACAGTCAGTACGCACTCCTGTTAGATTTTTAAGAGTAGTTTTGAAATATTTTTAAGACCCGGGCAATGCCGGGTACTTCCCGTTAGTAGTATGATAAAATGTAGTATTATAATATTTCTGTGGCCAATAGAAAAACTAATTTAGATGAAAATGTAATATATTTGCTTTAGTGTGTTACTGACTAATCTTTAACCATGGAGCTGTTGTCTTCATGCAATGTCAGCAGACCTACAATCACGTAGCAAATTAAATTGTCCAAATATGTAAATGACCTTTTGAAATGTTAATGAAGCAATATTAAATGAAGAATTCCCCTTTTTTTATTGCAACTTTAACACTAATGTAATGTTCTAAATGACATGCTGAAAAGCCCAGACAGCGAATTGCTAGAGCAACTACTGCTGATTGTGCGAAAACTATTTAGTTAGTCTTTCACTGACTGTACACAAAAGCATGGCTGTAATGAATGGTGAGTCGTAATATGCTCACATGTGTCAATCAAATATATGAAACCGATAATGAGGCCAGTCTTATATGAGTATTTAAAAATTGCTCATGACAGCCATTCATTTTCATAAGGCGTTAACTTATTGTAATGTTCAATATGACATAATATGATATAATCTGTCACAAAAATGTATCCTGGATGATGCTGTGTATTTATAAAATATTTAATAGTCATTAGCCCATTACAATCTCGTCTGGGCCTCTGACACACATTGAGTATACTGCAAATTCGAATACACGTATGTATTTGCTTTTAGTCAATAGAGGCAATTGTTATTGTGCCACATGCCTTTTTAAATAACTATAGCTGCGTAAATTGTTAGAATGAATGAAAGCAGCAAGCTATCATGGTGATAAAACATATAATATCAATGTATTTTATAAAAACATTGCATATGGTTTTCAAAGTAAATGTGGAGGCCTTATGAAGCCAGGACATTGAAATATCTACATGAGCTACTCACAATGCCTCACGTTTCCTTTCAGTTTTCGCAAAGCAGTGAGAAAACCCCAGAAAATGCCAACAATTATTGAATTTAATAGTCAGATTTTTTTCTACACTGCATTATTTTTCTTATGAGATTAAATCATGAAAGTCTATGGGTAGTATTCTAACAAACACATAATTTATAGCAATGATACATCTACAATACATTAATGGTTTAGAATTCAGCTTTGGGATTTTTCAGTAGAAACTTTATGCAAAAGCCATTCCCACTCAATGCATGAGCACATGTTGGTGCTATTCCTGCCCTTGGAAATTGGCAAAGAAAACACTTACTAATGCCAACCATTCACATGTTACAGTAGAGTTGATGCCAGGGAAATTCACTAGCATGCAGACTTCCCACCATACATTTCACCAACGATAAAAATAATAACACATTAAATTATAATAACACATTTCTTTCCAAGCTATAGGCTATTAAAAATTATTTCTATTTTTTTTCGAATGTGTCAACACAGAACACTGTTGCCTGACTCGTTTCAAGGTATGAGTCTATACGCTCTTCATCAAAAAGAAGGCAGTAGGTGCGAAACAATTAAGCCAACGTATAATTGTTGTGAATATGATGGGTCTGCCGTGAGCCTTGTCACAGTTTTTACATTGCACCAAGACTGAGTGTTGCTATTACTTTGCTCATTGTATCAGAACGTGTGGCACTATGTCCCACAGTTTATCCTCTAAGTATTTCTCGACTAATACAATACACTTTCATAGAATACCAATCTGTTTGGATAACACTATAATATGCTCAACCACAATAGGGCACTTTTCATGAAAGCTACAATATTGATACAGCTTGATAAGCTGCTAAAAAAAATTCCTTCATTCATGTGATTTAGAGTGTGGACAATGTAAGAGCAATGACATGCAATGGGGGTTAAATACAATTTCTGGAGCAAATATTTATTTTTATAGTTTTTATAAAACATACAGTACCTTTAATATCATGAGACAAAAGTTGTTATTTTAAACCTATCGTATTGAAATGTAGATGAATGAAATGTATTGTTGAAGTAGCAACATTCTCAGAATTGTTTTGATACCAAGATTAATATTTTTTTGTAAAATCAAGCCAAAATAGGCATGACTTACAGCATGAAACATTTCTAAACACCATGACATTCATTCAATGAGGAAGAGTAGGCCAAACGCTCCCTAAAGGGATTCTTTAGAGCTCCCATTGGAGGAGGTCCTTCTGTCAGCAATGGTGGTCAAGTCATTGCAGGCTTGCACCTTTCCATTTTTTATCACTTCCCAGACATTAACATTTCACATGGCTTTAACGAATCCTTAATTATCCTTGAGCAATTCATTGCTCTACATTTTACTTGTGTGATTGAATGTTCACGTGCTGGTGTGCATACGCATTTGTGCGCACATTGTATGTATGAAGAAATGTATGGGGAGGAAATATGGAAAATATGAAGTAAATTTAGTGCAAACAATCCATATTTCTAAATGCTTAAGGGCTCAGCGAACTGCTAGCTACACAATCTACATTCATGAGCATAAAAGACCCAACATTTATATATTACAATTTGTTCAAGACCGAAGGGGCATATGCTCCAGAAAAACAAGCCCTCACTGACTTGGCACAAGAAGGGGAAGATAAAAATCATTGTGTTAGAGCCAAGCTCCCTTACGCCTCTCTCACTGCAAATGCCACAGCTAATATGCACTCTTTCAGGCCAATTAAAGAGCTGTGGGTAGAATTTAATAGATAGAGGAGCCAATTGAAATTCTGAGAAATATTACCCTCAGAGGCTAGTTTGAACTTAGATTACTGAACCGGAGTGCTTGTTGAAGTGTAAACATGACAAGAGAAAACTGGACACTGAATTCGTCAAGCTAGTTTCACAACACATCAAAACACACACCCACATGCCTCACGCTGTCTCTACAAGTCAGTTTTATCTAACGTCCGAATAGAATAAATATACAGACAGTCCCCAAGATACGAACATCCGACTTACGAACATCCACAATTACGAACGAACTGCCATAAATTGTCAGTATTTTAACCAACCGACTTAAACGTTCGTTTATGTTTACAAACAGAACCGCGGGACTATTTTTTCGGCGGAGCGAACCTCTGCGAGATGTAATCAGTCTCAGAATCCCACGTTAAATGCCCCTTCTGACAAGTACATAAGGACTTTAAGGTAAGTGAAAATAATACAGATTTTTCTTTCTTTTCACTTTACTTCATGTAATGTTTTATTTACAACATCGTATTTATTACAGTATTACATGCAAATCTATACAATGTCTTCTTATTTATGAGTTTAACAATGCTTCCCTTTTTTTAAACTATAACAGTGAGCGTATGTACAATTAAATATTAACTTCCGAGATATGCACAAATCGACTTACAAACGGGTTTCAGGAACGTAACCTTTCGTAGAGAGCACGAGGTGCACGTGTACGTAACCTTTCATAGAGAGCACGAGGTGCACGTGTACGTGGACATGCCTGTGCAAAAGTACCTGTTGGTGCACATGATAGAAGAGAACGAAAATGCCCATGTTGTTTATACCAGTGTCGGCTGACAATAAAGAGAGTACTGTTAAACGCTGGGGATGTTAACACTCAGTAAAGTAAAATAGTGCCTGTCAGATAAGATGGTCTAAAATGTGTAGTTAAATCTTTTTTGCAGGGTTAATAACATCTTCCCAATGATTACTAAATTTGTACACATCATCACGGTTGAAATTATGTCTGTGTTTGTATATCTGAATGGCTTCGTGTACAAACCTTTGATGGTAGCCAGAGGGTTTGCAGAGCACCTTGGTCTCGGAAAAAATAATATCATGAGAGCCCACCGCGTTGTAGCAATGATCGGCAACGGCGGAAGACTCAATTTTGCCATGTTTCAAATCTGACTTGTGCTCGCGAACACGATCAGAGACATGACGTTTTGTTTCCCCAATGTAACAATCACCACAGCTGCAACTCAGTTCATAGACTCCAGGGTATTGCAAGTCAGGGATGACATCCTTCACAGATGGAATTAGATCACAGATTTTAGGTACTGTACTGAATCGGACTTGGATCTTATGTTTGTTTAGAATTTTGGAGATCTTTATGGTCACGCCTGCTATGTATGGCAACGTGATAGTTTTGATCGGAGTTTCAAGTGGCTGTTTCTGTATGGTGGGAGAAACAGCTTGGCGGATGGTGCAGTCAGAGTATCCGTTCATCCTGAGGGCCCGATGTACATGTCTTAATTCACTGGCCAGGTGGTATTGGTCAGAAATGCCATGAGCTCTGTGGTATAGCATTTTGATGAGAGAATTCTTTTGAGATGGGTGGTGGTGGGAATCTGGTTTCAAGTAGGAATCTGTGTGGGTAGCTTTCCTGTAGACAGAATGTCCCAAAGATCCATCAGGTCTCCTCTCAAACAGAATATCTAAGAATGGTAGTTTGCCATCTTTCTCCACTTTCATGGTGAATATGTCTGGAATTGATGTGGTCCAAGAAGTGGTTCAATGCTGGGAGGCCATGTGGCCAAATGATGTATGTGTCATCCACATACCTCTTCCACAGGGAAGGACGCAGGGTGGATGTCTGGATGGCGTCTTATTCAAACTTTTCCATGAACATGTTGGCTATCACTGATGACAAGGGGGAGCCTATAGGGGTACCCTCATTCTGTTTGTAGAAGGTGCAATTCCAGGTAAAATAAGTGTTGGTGAGGCAATGCCTAACCAGCACAGGTACATCCGAATTCAATCCATGTTGGACCAAGTCTTCAATTATTGTTAGGGTGTCAGGCACTGGAACTTTGGTAAACAGAGATACTACATCAAAACTGACGAGGATATCATCAGGAGATAGTACCATGTCCTTAACCATAGAGACTAATTGGGTTGAGTTGAGTATTGCCGAAGAGGTCTTGCCTGTGAAGGGAAGCACCGTATCTGATAGAAAACGGGCTAGTTCGTAGGTAGGAGAGTTTATCGTCGACACGATGCGGGGTGCCTTCTGTATGGATCTTGGGAAGACCATAGAGTCTGGGAGGTCTAGCCGCCTAGGGTTTTAGAGAGTGACGTTTGGTTGGTTCGATTAGGGAAGTCGAACTCGTGATGATCTTGTTGGTTTTTGTCGTTAGGCTGTTAGTGTGGTGATTGTTACATTGGGAAAATGAAACGTCATGTCTCTGATCGTGTCCGCGAGCACAAGTCAGATTTGAAACACGGCAAAATTGAGTCTTCTGCCGTTGCCGATCATTGCTACAACGCGGTGGGCTCTCATGATATTGTTTTTTCCGAGACCAAGGTGCTCTGCAAACCCTCTAGCTACCATCAAAGGTTTGTACACGAAGCCATTCAGATATACAAACACAGACATAATTTCAACCGTTATGATGAGTACAAACTTAGTAATCATTGGAAAGATGTTATTAACCCTGCAAAAAAAGATTTAACTACACATTTTTGGACCATCTTATCTGACAGGCACTATTTTACTTTACCGAGTGTTAACATCCCCAGCGTTTAACAGTACTCTCTTTATTGTCAGCCAACACTGGTATAAACAACATGGGCATTTTCGTTCTCTTCTATCATGCGCACCAACAGGGACTTGCGCACAAACACGTCCTTGTCTACATGCACCTCGTGCACCTCGTGCTCTCTTTTAGCCCCCCCCCCCTCCCGATATGTTCCATAAATTGGCTACCACATTCTGATAAGCTCCCCCCCTCGCCTCCCCCTTAACTTGTATTTAAGAACTTGCATCTTGGAATCCCTGCCTCACTTGATACAGCAAATCTGGCTGTGACGGTCCCACCTGATGACAGAGACTTGTGTTGCCTCCTAAACGTCGTGATTTTTATTATTATTTTATTTTTATTAATTTTCATTTCATTTTTTACCTACGTGACTTTACCGAATAGATACACATTGGCTTATGATATGCTGCACCAGGATCTGAAAGTATCCAAGAAAATACTGATTGGATCCATTTTGTTGGTAATTTATTTGCATAGAATCCGACACGAATTATTGAGTCCCATGAGACCGATATTGCTGAGTATTTCACATCATGGTAGAGCATATGATCTGCTTGGCAATGCACTGAAGCATATCCATTAAAAACAAACATTTGAATTATTGAATGTATTAAAACACAATCAAATGTGCTCCCTATGAAGTGCACAAACCACACACCTCTTTAGTAGGTCATGTTTGATGACTATTATCATGTATATGTGGTAAAAAGACAAACTTGTCTTTGTAATCCCTAAAAAAACACATTCTTAGTCAACTATTGTTAAATAGCATGATAAAAAAATTTTGGCATTTACATGATGAAAAACACCCACGGTAATCATCAAAAGTGCCATTTGAGCACTATTTAACTTTTTTTACGTGCTGTAAAAGAATAATTAAATACATCAATAATTGATTCAAACTATTATGAAATCAAAATAAATTGAGGCATGAATAATGGAAAGCCATCACAAAGTGAACTAATGATTTAAGCTCCAACAGCTATTCATAACAAAGGGTGCAGATTGCCTGCGTTAGCAGGTAATAGCTTTGCATATTTTCACTCATAAATAAATTAGCAAGCACATGTTTAATTTGTCTAAACAACTGAAAAAACAACACCCATGTTGTTTTAAATAGATTTATTGATACATTTTAATGAACCTTGGTATTTCAACTTCGTGGCAATTTGTTTAATACAATCTTGACATTTTTATATTATTTCAGGAAGTGATTGAGTGGCTCACACTACCCTGTCACTGTTGAGAATCTAATTTGAAACTCAGGTTTCGCTGCGTGTAATTAAAAGAGAAGGGCCTCTTTTGATCAACGTCAAGACTACTTTTTTTTCAGCACGTTGAAATAACAATTCTAAATTAAAGCATTATGATGCTCGAAGCATATTGGTAATGATTATAAACTATCTACATATTATTATCATATTTATCAACAGTATGAACTTCTAGTATTCCCTAACTTCAAGATATATTTTGTTATACCTCAGACTCTTAATTGTTCCCTTATTACCTGTGTGACTCCTGTTATCCAAAGTGGATAAAGGGTTCGTGAAAATTCCTATTGTCTGTGGACCTATTTCTTTCGATTATCTGTGGTTCTCTTATACGTCGAGCAGCACATTCATTCTATTTTACTCGGGGTTATCTTAAAATTATTATCCAGCGAATGAGAGAGGACAAACCGGAGATAACTACACGAATAATGGAGACATCTTAATTATATTATCATTATGCCTATATGGTTTCTATAATGACATTGCCATACATTACAACACCATATTCTTGGGTCTTTCGGTAAAGTCACGTAGATAGGTTCAAATAAAATAACAAAGAATAACAACAAACTACGACGTTTCGATCACAACACAAGAAATCGTCATCAGGAGAAAAAAATAGCGGGAAAGCTGCTGAGGCAGGATGTTTTAAAGGTATGAAATGGGTGTAGCCCAAGGGTCATAAGCGAAGTGGGCGGGGCTAGTGATGTTAAAGTGAGACATTTGCATGTCAATGTAAGATCGGAGAGCTACCTCCACGACGACGAAGCTGCAGAGGTGGCCATTGTATTGTGAGAGATTAGCATGTCAATGTAAGATCGCAGAGTAGCCGCCACATCGAGGAAAACGAGCAACGGTGGCTGTGTTAGTGAGACATTTAACCTGTCAATGTGAAGACATTTAACCTGTTCATGTAAAACCAGGAGTCGAAGATAACTACTAACATCGGAAGGTAGGATGGAGACATCACAGCCAGTTATGACTTAAACCAGTTAATAACGTCCTTCCAATGATTGAGTGGGCGGGGCTAGTGATATTAAAGTGATACATTTGCATGTAAATGTAAGATCTGAGAGCTACCTCCACGACGACAAAGCTGCGGAGGTGGCTATTGCTTGTGTTGCGATCGAAATGTCGTAGTTTTTGTTCTTTTTTGTTATTTTCTTTGAACCTTTCTACGTGACTTTACCGAAAGACCCATGAATATGAATTCCTGCAGTCACGAAAGCTTTAAGTCAGTACAACACCATATTCAATTAACTGTTCACACTGTTTATCAGCAGTTTATTATTGTTGTTGATAAAGTTAACAGAATAGTATTTTATACGTGGGACATTTTATACATAAAACTAAATTGACCAATTGTAAATGTATAGGA